AGCCCTGGAATTTTTAACACCTATAACACACAGAAGATTATACTAAAATAGTAGTAGGTAATTATTTTTTTCCACTTATAATACACATGGCACCCCCACTAGATCCTTCCCTGCCGCCACCACAATCGTCGTCGTCATAGGAAACAAGGCCGACCCACCCACTAATAGCATACCTGGTGACCCGTGACCATGACTATTGCCAGTGCTTCGCCTGGCTTAGATCAGCCAATGCACCAGCAGTCACCTCGCTCTCACCAAGCTGAATAACTCGGTAAGAATTGTTTTGCACAAGCTGACGTAGGTTAGCAGGTATAGTTACAAACACATGATACATTTATGCAAAGCACCTATACTCCCTCCGTCCCAAAATTCTTGTCTTAGATTTATCTAGATACGGATGTATCTAACACTAGAGCATGAATAGATACATTCGTATGTAGACAAATTTAAGACAAAATTTTTGGGACGGAGGGAGTATTTATACAGACTTTTGCAGCTGAAAAAATGTATGTAACTAGGACTGAAATTGCAATTATTTATCCTTATGCTCAGTCACAGAAATCCTATTCAACTCTGAAATACAAATCTCAGGGGACGAAGGGGTGTGTGTGTGTGGGGGGGGGGGGTGTCAAGTTCATGTTTGAGATCCATAGAACCAGTTTTTTTTATGATTCAAAGTTTCAAACACACAATATGCAAAAGTGCAAAACACTTCAGACTTGTCTGAAACAAAAAGTCAGAGACATCTGGACCGTACATCTCCTTTGCATTTGTTGGCATGCAGCTAAAGGATCAAAAGACGGAAGAAAAAACTTGTTAGGACAAAACTGTTTTGCGTCTCTGTTGTTTTCTCATTTAATTACTTGACGATACAAGTTCATTTATCTGGTCTCCGGTGAGGGTTCCGTGCTCGAGAAGGGCATTGGCTAGCACATGAAGCTCCTTGCTGCGCGCCGTGACTATCTTCTTCGCGTTCTTGTAAGCCTTGGCAAGCAATTCTCTCACCTCCTCATCGGCCAGAGCCATCGTATGCCCACTCGCAGTCGCCGCCTTCTTCCCGCCGCCACCATCATTGTCGTTGCCGTAGGAAACAAGGCCGACCAGCTCGCTCATACCATACTTGGTGACCATATCTTTGGCCAGTTTAGTCGCCTCGCTTAGATCAGACACGGCGCCAGAGCTCACCTCGCTCTCTCCAAACATAAGCTCCTCAGCCACCCTGCCTCCCATGAGTATGTCCAATTTGGCCAGCATCTTCTTCCTTGAGACTTTGTACACATCTTCTTCCTCCGGCAGCTGCGTTACCATGCCAAGAGTGTTCCCCCTTGGGGACAATGGTAGCCTTGTGGATGGTGCGAACACCGTCCGTGTGGATAGCAACAAGGGCCCTCCCTCCCTCGTGGTACGCACTCATCTTCCTGCAATTATCAGGTAACACTGCTGATTTTCGCTCGCTGCCCATCATGATCTTGTCCTTGGCGTATTCAATGTGATCCATTGTAACAACTTCTGCCTTATCCTTGGCAGCCTTCAGCGCAGCGTCATTCACCAAATTTGTAAGGTCTGCACCTGAGAATCCCGGTGTCCCCATCGCAATGGTCATCAGATTCACACCCTTGGCTTTGACCTGAAAAGAAGGATCATATAGAGAAAGGTCACAGTCTTGCAGTGAAGACTACGAAGATGCCTTATCTTTTTGGACAGAGTATGTACCTTTGCCATACAAGCCTTGAGGATCTGTCGTCGACCCTCGACATCTGGACTAGGAACCTGAACATGACGGTCAAAACGCCCAGGTCTAGTAGCAGCTTTATCCAGCGATTGGGGGAAGTTGGTCGCCCCGAGAACAATGATCCCGTCATTCTGCTTGAAGCCATCCATCTCAACAAGCAGCTGGTTCAGGGTCTGGCTCCGCGACTCTGAAATGTCTGAGTTCCAGCTACCAGCAATGGCGTCGATCTCATCAATGAATATTATGCGAGGGGATCGCCTTTTTGCTGCACTGAAGAGCTCTCTCACTCTTTGAGCCCCAACACCCACATACTTCTCGTCGAATTCGCTGCCGCTGCACGCGAAGAACGGGACGCCGGCTTCCCCGGCCACAGCCCTCGCCAACATGGTCTTCCCTGTGCCTGGTGGGCCAGAAAGCAGAACGCCCTTTGGAAGCTTGCCACCAAGGCGCGTGAAATACTGCGAAATCAAGCAACGATAGAATCAACATCAAGAAAGAAAAGAAGGAAAGTTGAGTTGACAACACCAGCCAGGCTGCCTGCATGCAGGGGTTTGCTAGCTGATGATGGCGACGTGTCGCTCTCACCTACCTTGGGATTTTTCAGGTACTGAACAATGTCTTCAAGCTCAGCCTTGGCTTGGTCGACTCCCTTGACATGACTGAATCTCGTGGACACGTCATTCGAGTCATCCAATCGGTCGAATGTGCCCTGCTTAACCAGTCTGTCAGCCAGACCATTGCCGTAATAGATCACAAGGCCGGTGGCTGCAATGGTCCGCAGGGTAGGCCAAAGCTCCTTGATCAACTGGTCTTTGAACGCCGTGTCAAATGATGATGACTCGCCTGCGGGCAAAAAAAAAAAGCAAGTTGTGGAACAAATTGCGTGTTGGTGGGATCAATCAAAAAGGAGAATGGTAGCGAAAGAAACCTCCAGTGTGCAGCTCAAGGGTGACGAGGGCTTTTACATAGTCGGGGAGAGGTGGAGACTGCGACGGATTCTTGGATTCGAAGTCCTGCACGACCCCCTGTGCTCTCCGAAGAGCAGGCCTCGCTCCGTATCTCCTCTGTAGGTTTCCGCCTGCATCAAGCATGCACCATGTGTATCATAAGTTGTACAGAAGGAAGCCTATATAACCAGTTCCTCCATGGCAATGGCAGCAGCCAACCAACAGGATGCAGGTAACTGAAAACAGTACTAGTTCTTTTTTTTTTCTTTTGCGTGTCATCCTTTGGCAGGGGCATGCTAATCTTCTCACTGTCTGTCGGGTAATTGGCAGTTGCCGCACAAATATATTATATGAATTTAAATCTCTAGACTAGATCTACATACATACGCCAGTGTGTTTTGCAGCAGGTACCCTGAACTGAAGGAAGGAACAGCAGCCGCCGCACCGCAAACCCGCCTGGCAGCCTGCGACAGAAACACGCGCAGAAATCAAGACGACAGGAGAAGATAACCTTATGCTTCAGGGACGTGCGATGCTCATGGTTTCCCTAAGGATCTTGTGCTTCAGTCCTACAGCTACAGGTCCTGTACAACTACAGGTCGGGGGAGCTCCTGGACCCTGACGATGTCGCCGTTGTGTTGACTTCACCTACACGGCTACGTGGATGATCGTGCTGGCTGGCGCTTGGAGGCGGAGAACTGCCGTTGCAAGTTGCAACGTGTAACGCCGGCGTGGTGTTTTTTCCTGTTAATAATAAGATAATTAAGGGGAGTAAGGAGAACCACTCGATTGGAATGAACGGCAGATTTAGAAGCTACAGCACCTATGCAGTAATAACCGTACTGCAGAGGAGCCGAACCCGAAGCATCTTGCCAAGAAACTCTTCTCTGGCGCCGAGTGGATGCTTGCCAAGAAACTCTTCTCTGGTGCCGAGTGGATGCTTGCCAAGAAACAGACGACGATAGTCTGTGAGGGCCAGGCCTATGGTCACGTGCTCGCCTTCAAAATTGTATTCTCCGAGCCGCCAACCTCA